ATATAGACCAATGGAATAGAGCAGAGAGCCCAGAAACAAAGCCTCACACATGTGGTCAAATGTTTTTTGACAAATAGTACCAAGATCACTTAATGGGGAAAGGAAGGTGTCATCAACACCAGTCTAGGAAAACTGGATGTCCCCATCTAGGACGTGCTAGGAAAACTGTATGCGCACATGCAAAAGAATGAAATTGGATCCTGACCTTGCACTCTCTACAAAAATTAACTCAAAATGATAAAGAAGTAAACATAAAACCTACATTGTAAGCTCTAAGAAGAAAATGTAGAAGAGTTCCAGAACATTGGATCTGCAATGATTTCTTGACTATGACCCCAAAAGCAGAGGCAACAAATGTAAAAACAGATAAATTGGACATCAAAATTTAAAATTTCTGTGCAGAGGACATAATCAACAAAGTAAAAGGCAACCTACAGAATGGGAGAAAACTGCATATTATATATCTGATAAAGGGTTAATATCCAGAATACAAAGAGAACTCCTATGATTTAACAACAAAAAAATATCACCTGATTAAAAACAGGGCAAAGGCCTCAGACTATTTCTCTAAAGATACGCAAAAAGCCAAAAGGCACAGGAAAAGAGGCTCAACGTTATTAATCAGGGAAATGCAAATCAAAACCAGGACGAAGAAGCATTTTACTCCCTTTAGGACAGCTATGATCACAAAAACAGGAAATAACAAGTGTTGGCAAGGACACGGAGAAAAGTGGAATCCTTGTCCACTGCTGGTGGGAATGCAACATTGAGACAGCTACTGTGGAAAATAGTATGATGGTTCCTCAAAAATTTTTAGTTACCATGTGATTCAGCAATTCTACTTCCTTTTTTTTTTAACCAATTCTACTTCTGAGTATATACCCAAAAGAACTGAAAGCAAAGCCTTGAAGAGGTATTTCATACCATTATTCAAAATAGCCAAGAGGTGGAAATAACCCAAGTGTCCATCAACAGATGAATGGATATACAAAATGTGGTATACACATACAATGGAATATTACTCAGCCTTAAAAATGGAAGGAAATTCTCACACATGCTGCAACATGAATGAACCTTGAGAACATTAACATTACGCTAAACGAAATAAGCCAGAAAACAAATATTGTTCGACTCCACTTATGTGAGGTATCTAGAGTAGTCAAATTCATAGAAATAAACAGTAAAATGGTAGTTTCTAGAGACTGGAGAGAGGGGGACATGGGGAATTATTTAGTAAGTGTAGTGTTTCAATTTTATAAGCTCAAGTTCTGGAGACTGGTTGTACAGCAATGTGAATATACTTAAAGCCACAAAACTGTAAAATTAAAAATGGTAAAGATGCCAAAATTTATGTTCTGTGGATTTTACTACAATTAAAGAGAAAGACACTCTTACAAGAGTAGAATGAGGGAAAATATTTGCAAATTATACATTTGAAAAATAACTTATATTCATAATTTGTAAAGGGCTCTCAAAACCCAGTAAGAAATTTTAATTTAACAGACATGTTAAATTAAATAGACTGACCACACCAAGTGTTGGTAAGAATATGGAACAACAATATAGAACAACTGGAATGTGTCTATACTGCTAGTAGAACTATAAAAGAGTACAAACACTTTGGAAAGCAGTTTGGCAATGTATTGAAAAGTTGAATATACACTAACTTATGACTCAGGTATTTCACAGCTAAATATTTGTCCAGAAAATATGAAAGTATATGTACAATGTACCTAAATGTTTATAGCAGTTTTATTTGTAATAGCCCCAAACGGCAAACAACCCGACCGTCTGTCAATAAGGGTATAAACTAAATGTGGTGCAGAGCCATATAATGGAATGCTACTCAGTAATAAAAATGAATGATATGTGCAACATCTCAAAATAACCAGGTCTCCCCCAGGAGACTGTGGGACCCATAGCTGTGTTTCTACCACCTGAGAGCAGCATTCAGTTCTGGTACAGAGAATAGGTCTAAAGAGGCATTGATTGGAGTGGAGGGTATGAAACTGCACACTGATCTCTTTGAACACAAGCACCTCATAGTGGAAAGGCAGCTGTCCAATTTCGTCATTGACACAGATGTTGAATTCCTGAATCTTGGTGGACAATGGGGGAATATTTTCAATCAGGCACAGAAATGAACAAGAAAGAAGAAAGTTTCCAAGTTCTGGCACTCTGGCAGGCCCGGGTGCATCTGAGAGAAAGCTCTCCAGCAGAGCTGCAGGTGCCATAGTGGGATGGTGTGGCTGTATCACGATGGCTAAGGCACCTAGTAACCAAAGTGGTTCAAGAAATCCCCGAGGGGCACCTGGGTGCTCAGTGGAGGAGCGTCTGCCTCAGCTCATGTCATGATCCCGGAGTCCAGGATCAAGTCCAGGATCCAGTCCCACCTCGGGCACCTCACAGGGAGTCTGCTTCTCCCTCTGCCTACATCTCTGCCTCTCTCTCTGTGTCTCTCATGAATAAATAAAATCTTAAAAAAGATAAAAAAGATAAAAAAAAAAACCACCACACACACACATGTGTTAAAAAAAAAAACCAACACACACACACTATATGTATATGTATGTATACACACATATATATACACACACTAACACAACAGAGGATCCCACTTATATAAAATCCTAGAAAATGCAAACTAATCTCTAATTAACAAAAAGCAGTTCCTTGGTCCCCTGGGACCAAAGGGGAGGGAACAAGAACAATTTGGGGAATGACCTATATGCTGGTATCTTGATTGTGGCGATGGCCTCACAGGTGCAGACACGTGTCAAACATTAAATTTTTATATTTTAAACTTGTGCAGTTTATGCTAATTATATCTCAATAAATCTTCTTTTAAAAAGAAACAAATCCTACCAAAGAACAACCTGCTAACACATTTCTCCCCAGACCACAGGATTCTTAATAAGGTCCTTTCAGTTTAAAACCTCTATATTTCAAATGGCACATAAGGAGGGACCCAGGGGGTACTCTTACAATCTCTACAGACAGAGTGGAAAATGTGAATAAATCATTAATAAGGATTTCATAACGGCACTTTTAAAAAGTGAAGAATTACACAGAAGGGATAAAATACTTAGAATATACAGTGTCTCATGTATAACTTTCATTAGTAAAAAATTAATTTTGTAGATCTCTCTGGTGATCAAAAAGCATGTGAACTGGGATCCCTGGGTGGCGCAGCGGTTTAGCGCCTGCCTTTGGCCCAGGGCGCGATCCTGGAGACCCGGGATCGAATCCCACATCGGGCTCCCAGTGCATGGAGCCTGCTTCTCCCTCTGCCTATGTCTCTGCCTCTCTCTCTCTCTCTCTCTGTGTGACTATCATAAAAATTTAAAAAATAAATAAATAAATAAATAAATAAATAAATAAATAAATATAAATAAATAAAGCATGTGAACTATGGCTATTTACTCCTATTAAAAGAGAGCTTGATTAACAGTAGTAATGTTAGATCTATCTAAAAAGTAAGTTAATCTGTTTAAAAATCAGAATAAATGATATTTATGGTTCAACAAGTTACTTTCTCTTCCCAATGACTGTAAGTTTGAGAGCACAATTTCATATTTTAAAGTCCAAATTCAGTGAAAGTTAGGGACTACTATCTGTACTGTAACATCTAATTAAATACACAAAAAAATTGAAAGATTTGAAATGAGAGCCTACAACAAAACACCATGTCTGTCAGTAAAAAGTGGGAGGAAAGATTCAGAGCGCAGTTTGAAAATGCAGTCCATGCCTGTACTGACCACCTTTTACTGCTCCCTTCATCCTATCTAGTTATGAATCTCAATAGGCAGAAATGAGGGCTATGGTTTGTAGAATACTGAAATGTTTTGCTGTTAGCCATTTCTGTACCAATAACTCCCCAAAAATGTTTCTTAACCTAAACAGAAATGAAGCTAATATCTAGTCAGGAGATCTGGATTCTAACTCTGATTTGACTAGATATTAAGCTGTCTGACACTGGTTAAGTCACTTTATTTCCATTTCCATTTCTTCTCATTAAAACGAAAAGCTAGTGTACACATATGTACTAATTCTAATTATCAGGCTAAGAGCAAAGGGTAGGCGATTTGCAGAAAGCTGGGCTGTATTCAGGCCAACTCGCCAATCACTCAATGCAGGAAGTTTTTAATGAGCAGTCTCTGTCTCCCAGAAACTGTCAGATGCATGAGACTCAAAGATTAATAAGTAGTTTGGTCTCCACTTAAAAGGGAGTATTAAAAAGATGAAAAGAAAAAAGTTCCTGCCTTTGAAGAACTGACACTGCAACGGGTGAAACCACTAACACACAATGAACCGGAACTACAAAACACAGCGAGTCGGATACCCTGAGCGAGGAAAGTTCATGCGTGATGGACGCACTCGAGAGGAAACACCACCGTAGGCTCACCAGTCCAAGCTGAGTAATCTGTCATGTATACAGAAAACCACCCTCCACTGGGACAAGTAAAATCCAGGAGGCCAGACAATAAGTGAGTCTAACCTAAGTATCTCAATAACTGTAATCCACAACTACAGATAACTATACCTCAAGGACAGTCTATGCCAATTTTAGTGGAATTTTTAAAGAACAGAACACAAAATTGACATAGTTTATCTCCAATGACTACAAATGGTATTTCTGTAGGACTCTAAAACATATCTATTTTTTCCTAAAACTTTATTTCAATTTTGTCTTGATTTTGGTATTCGCTTTGGCAGAAAACATTGATAGTTATGATTTACTACTACCTGTATGCTTATTCTACTATACTTTAATTTAAAAAATTAATTACTTACGGGCAAAATGCAAAGTAGTATTATAAGTACATAAAGATTAACATTTAACCAAAAGTCACTAGAACCTTCCATCTAAAGCAGGAATTTTTTTTAGCATTAAAAAAGAAAAAAGAGAGGAGAGTGTGTGTGTGTCCGTGTGCACACGAGTGCACAGAGGAGAGGTGGGATGGGACAATTCCTTCCAGATTTCTTAGTGAGGTACTTACAGTGCTGATCACAATCAACTCTGGCAAACACTACTTGATTTTCATTTGGATATTCTTCCTTAATGACATTTGAAGCTTCCTCAAAAATTGGATGCAACATTTGGCTGAAACGACACCTATACACAAAGAAGGATACCAATTAAACTGAGAAGCGGAAGCAATAAAATCTTATTTCAGTTATCATCCATTGATATGTTGTATATGTACAATAAAGAGCTTCTGAGACAATTGCATAGTTGATGTAGTCATGGCACTGGATGTCATTCATTGAAGATGAAGACAGTTTTGAATTCAAAGATTACTCCAATTCAAAGACTGTACAAGTAAAAGATTTTGGTTTTTTGTACCTTAAGAAAATGGCCAATATTATAAAGCACACAGCTAAGGATCTCTCACAGAGACCAAAAAACAACAAGTCTGAAATAAGCCCTCTACGATGGATCCACTTGGACTTACAACTCCTAAGACTTGAGCATTTATAAATGAAATTAGCTTTCTCTAAATAATGAACATATTTTTAGACTACTATACAGAGTCTTTAAGATGGTAAGTTTATTGCAAATACTAGTCTGATTCACTTGACTAGGTCAGCCAAATCTCACAGCAAGTTAGCATACTAAGTAAGTTGCATGACAAGAATATATAGTATATAATATAATGTGTCCCGTCAAAATTTACCCCTGGTTAAAATAGGCTTTCGTATCTATAAATGTATTAAATATATTAAGTTCAGGAGCAAAAACATTAAATTCCTAAACAAGACTTCCTATTCACATTTCCTTTGTCGTTTCTGATTGTTTGTTTATACTTTTACAAAGGAGCACAAGCCCTACGATATTCTAGAAACTTGATACTTCTAATTTTTTTTTTTTTTAAATTCTGATTGTCTCTTAAGCAGGCCAACTACCTCAGAACTATGCTGCAGGTCATTAAAGGGACCTGATAAGAAAGAGAAGAAGAATCAGAATCAGCACAAAGCCAGCTGGATTAGAATAGTCATTCTTATATGAAAAAGGTACTATTTGCTAACAAAACAAAACTATAATTGCTCCTACTGCTTCCAGAGGCCTTTTCCACCAAGAAATTTACTTCAGTGAAGCCTGTGAACTCTTTTATCCGCAAGTGATTAGGTCATACATATTAACTATAATGCAACAAAAGTCTGATAAAGCCTATGAAAGGTTATAAACTCTATGCTTCCTCCCTATTTCTTTTTTGTAGATAACTTCCTCTAGCCCACTCACCTGACTTCCTAAGGAGATGTCCTAGAACATATCAAGGAGACACAATCTGTATCTTCAATCTCTTGCTCTCAAGTGGCTCATTCCTCTTTTATCATTCTTAAATCTCTCCCATCTGGGATAGGTGGGTGGGGTCTGTGGACATCAGGGACCGTGTCTTATTTGACTATGTATTCTAATAAGCATTTCAATATATGTCTGTTAAATGATTAAACTGATAGAATGGAGAAACAGGAAAGGCTAGGTCCACAAGTTTTTAGTTTCTTTTTTTCCTTTTTTTGAGAGAGAGAGAGAGAGAGAGAGAGAGAGAGAAAGGGGGAGAGACAATCCTAAGCAGGTAAGCAGGTTCCATGCCCAGTGCAGAGCCTGACATGGGGCTCAACCTCATGACCCAGAGATCATGACCTGAGCCGAAACCAAGAGTCAGACAACTTAACCAACTGAGTTGCCCAGGTACCCCAAGTCTGTAGGTTTTTTAAGTTTGCTGAAAATTGGGTGCTGGAGGCCAGGGGAGGCAAAGGATAGGAACTGAGGAATGGTTTCTTGAAGAATTAGGATATGGCCTAGTAAAGAATTAGTGGACAAGCTCTGGGCTTAAGGGCAAGGTAAAGACATTACATAAGAGGCACCTTCTTTCTGGATTGTCTAGTTTGCTGCCCAGTAAGCATTTAAGCACAGGTTCATGTTTAAAATAGGATCAATTTTAATACCAGAAGGTGAATGGGAAATATGAAATAAAAGCTCAACCACAATATTATCATACTTTCATACACATGTATCCACACATATGGAAAGTTATATTTATAAAAGTAAGATAACAAAAGCAATAAATTAAAAGGAAGGATCATCTGAATCCAATCTCCAATCTAGTGCTTGAATCTACCCTTTACAAATCAACCAAATGGGTAACAGTCTTTGCAGGGACAACTGGGAGTATTTACTAGTATACTTACTAGTATGACCTAGTAGGGTGGAAAAAAGTAAGCTTTGGAGTTAGACATACCTGAGCTTAAATCCCAGTTCCACCACTTACTAGCCGTATGACCTTTCTGAGCCTCAAATTTCCTCAACCTAAAATGGAAATTATAATACCTACCTGCAGGGTAGTTCTGAGCATTAAAAACAATGTACATAAAGAGCCTGGTACATAAAAGCATTATTAGGTACGTACTATGGTTCATCACTCTCCAAGCCATATCAGTATTTTTAGGCAGCTCTATTAGAGAATTTTCCCTTAAGCTGTGCCACATTCATAACTTCCAGACACAACTCAGAATCTAGCCTTTGAGGCCACAAAGTATAAACCTATGTCTTATGGTCAATTACCTAAGATTTTTTCCAGTTGAATAAAAGAGTACTAATTCACGAACAACTCAAGGTGTTCTTTGGATAATGTTTTCCCAAATAACTACAATTAGTCCACATATCCAATTTAGCTTTTGTGACAAGGTCAGTGACACGTTATTTCTCTTTTTTACAACACACAAAATTCCCTCAATCAAGAGAATTGTGTTCTAGTTTTAACTCTGCCACAACTCTGTCAGGTAACCTTGGGAAGCCACTTTACTCCTCTGGGTCTCAGTTTTATTTTTAAAGTGGATTGGACTAGATAATCTTAAACCCAATTTTGTGGCTACTATTACATGTGGACAATCCCAATGTACCTTGGAAAATGCTACCTTGGTTATACATTTTAGAAATGGCATTTTCTCTGTGTATCTTCAACATTTTACTGATATTACTTAAATATCTATACTATACATCATTCATTCAGTATATATCTAATATGTACTTATCTGCCAAGTACTATGCAGAATACCTGGAGATTAATGCTGAAAAAAGATAGATATGGTAACTTTTCATAAAGCTAAGGCTGTAGTAGGTAACAACAAAACTACAGCATACAAGTGTTATGATGCGCTAAGTGTGTAGTGTCATGGGAAGATAGAAAAAAGAGATGGAATAGGGTGAGAATATTGATGTAGGAGGGTGACTTAGAGAAAACAGCATCTAATCTAAGACTTGAAAGATGGTTAAGACTTAACTATATAAATAAATGGGTGAGAGAAGAGTGACCCAACCAAGCAGAGAAAGTATCATGACTAAAGGCCCAGTGATGAAAGAGTAGAGAATATCGCAGAAACCGAAAGACTTTCAGTACAACTGGAACATAATGTGGGAGTGGAGAGAGGCAAGACATACGGATGTAGAGGTATGGTAACTTTAGGTCTGAAGTCACTGGGGGCTTTCTAGACCAAGATAAGGGACTTCAGACCTAAAGTTAATGGAACACCATTTAAGGGTTTTAAGAGGAGATATAACCCTATTCAAAAAAAAAAAAAAAAAAAAACCCTATTCAGTTATTCAGTATGCATTTTAGGTAGACCACTCTGGCTTACTTTAAAGAGAACAGAATGAGACACATAAGACATGAGGCACAGAAAATTAATTAGGAGACTGTCACAGGAATCTAGGTAAATTGGACTGTGGCCTAAACTAAGGAGGTAACAACTACCAGGCAATAAGCCTCAAAGGGTCAAATAAGATACAGATTATCAGGGAATAAGGATTATGTGAGAGTTTCAAAACTTCTCTCCAGCTCAAGTTCCCTTCTACCTATCACCATGTCACATTCCTTAACATCTACTACATGTTATGCAGTGGTTTTAGATGCCAGGAATGTTCAGTAAGACATTTTATCTGCTCTCAATGTTGGTCCGCACAAGTATAAAAGATAAAATAATGTAGTAAGAATAAGAAAGTGGTATCCGGTACTATATGACACAAAAGACAAGAATCTGATTCAGACAGGGGAAGGAGTAAAGGCTTCCTAGAAGTAATAGATGATACATATTTAAAAAGTATCAATATTATTTTTCCTTCTAAACTGGCCACACCCACATCCTCACCTCCAAACACTGCCCTACTTCCTCAGTCAGGAAAAATACAGAACTGCAATATGTACTCCTATGGGGCGGGGTGGGGGGTGGGGGGCTTAGATTTGAGTTTTTGTTACTGCTTTTAAGATGTGGAATAGTAGAATCAGATACATTTTTCTCTTAAAGCACAAATAATCATGAAATTAAGCTGCTCCCTTTGTGACTGAACCTTAATTGATTTCGTATATGAAATATTGTCTCACATAAGAAAAAAAAGGTTTTCCCCTTCCCCCTTTCTAGCAAAGAAAAATTCACACATAGCAAGATAAAAGAAAAAAACTAAATGATACAACTTCATTCTCCCTACCCCAAGAAACAAAAATAAGACTCTTACTTACCAGTCAGCATAAAAATTTACTAAAGCAACATCAGCATTATCTGAAATTGAAAAACAAAACCAAACAATCTAAGTTAATTGTGTCCACATAACTGGCATAATCAAAGATATGGTTTTCATCATGGTCTTTTTCACATTTATGTAAAGGCCCACTAAAAACACACAATAACAATTAAGTTACCTCTCATTCAGAAACCCATATACAGAATCATGGACAGGTAATATAATTTGTGTGAATCCCTGATCCTTTTCTCTATATCCTCCATTTTTATACCTTCATTGAATGAATGAATATAAAACAAAAGGGGAATCAAATCCAGATCAGGAAAGTAAACTATTAAATAGCCTATTCTCATTAAAAAAACATTAAATAGGGGATCCCTGGGTGGCGCAGCGGTTTGGCACCTGCCTTTGGCCCAGGGCGCGATCCTGGAGACCCGGGAGCCAATCCCACGTCGGGCTCCCGGTGCATGGAGCCTGCTTCTCCCTCTGCCTGTGTCTCTGCCTCTCTCTCTCTCTCTCTGTGTGTGTGACTATCATAAATAAATAAAAATTTAAAAAATATATTAAATAGCCTACTTTCATTAAAAGTGAAGTGAAATGATCTTGATTTTATCTTTTTTTTTTTTTTTTTTTAAAGAGAGCATGTGTGGGGATGGGGGTGCAGAGGGAGTGGGAGAGAAAGAATCTTAAGCAGGCCCCAAAGCAGGGCTCGGATCCACAATCCCGAGTTGAAATCAACACTCAGATGCTAAAATGACTGAGCAACCCAGGCAACCCTTAATAACCCATTTTTTGATCTCCTATATATAAGAGTAACTGAGAACTGGCTGTGCAAGAACATTCTATTTCACAAAAAAGACCTGTGTAATTAAGCTATTTCTAAAGTTCAGATGTCTCTCCTAGTTGCAACAAGTAAACTACAACCAATAATGTTGCATAACATGCACATTTTCTGGTTCTTATCCATTAAAGAGCTAGTCTTTGTTATAAAAATAAAGTATCATTTACATATGAGGATGTGAAGTCAAGAGAAAGATACCTTTGTTTCTTTTGCCTAAACTTCATACATAGATAAACTCAAGTACTTATAAAAATAAAGCATAGAGATATTCTAGAATTTGAAAAATGAAAGGAGAATGATTGAGTTTCAATTCCCTTCTTCTTTTTTTACCCTCAAAGCACTTTTTATACACTTTACTTCTTCAATCTGAAGCAGTGGTTCACCAACTGTACTCTCTGGACCAGAAGCAGGAGCAGCAGGTAGAAATTTACAGAAATGCAAATTCTCAGCTGGAGTCTACTGTTTCTTTTTTTTTTTTTTTTTTTTTTTTTTACTGTTTCTGTTAGAAACTTGGAACCAGACTTAGCAGTACGGATATTAATAAGTCCTCCAGGTGACTCATGCATGCTAAAGGTTATATAGAGCCATTGCTCTAAAGAGATCCCATAATGTGGGACAGACATTTTAGCATTTAAAACCAGTTCCAAGAACACAAAACAGTTTATGATGCTCAATGAATAACTCCTTTTACTCTTAACATTTTTCATTTTGTTCCACTCAAACCAGTGGATGAAATGGAGTGCTTTTTAAAAAGCAGCAGCAAGAAATCATTTATGCGTTTTACATTTTCTTAAATCTCCTAAATTAAGATTTTCTATCAACCATGTGTTCACCTTCCTTCTACTACTTTTAAAAACAGAAATGTTGTTCCCAAGTTAGCTTTATCCATATTCGCACTGTCAGCAAAGCATTCAGTAAAATATTTATTTAACTTAATGAGCCAATTACAATAAAAGAGATCAGAGGGGGTAAATTAATTAAAAGTTTAAAAAGACAAAAGATTTCTAGACTATGTCCTAAGATCATTTAGTAACACAGTTCCCACTGTGTGAACATTTATTATTGCACAGTGGGACCTGCTGACCTGTAAGTAAGCTCTAGCAAAAATACTTTTTGTTAACAGTAGTACTTAAGACAAGGCAAAGAAATAAAACAAGACCAAAAGTTTATTTGTAACACAGGAAAGGAGACTTACACATTTTAAGAAATCTTACTAAAAATCAAAACCAAAAGTGCTTTGTTAATTCAGGAAACCATGAAACTAATCAGAATGCCAGCTCCTCAACTGTTCTCGTAATTGAGATTTAACTTTGTTTTTGTATATAAACCAGCTCTTTATAAAAAAAAAAAGTGTTCTTTAAAAATATCAAGGTACTTACTTAAAATGTCATCTATATTCTCTGTATCAAGACTTGTTATTTCGGTTGTTACAGGAGTAAAAACCCAGGTTACCTGGAAATTTTAAAAATGCAAAATTAATAAGTGTTTCCATAAAAGGCAAATAATACAGAAAGGCTAATAAAAAGAAAATTTATTAAGTTGGTTCCACTTGTTATTTACAAATCATTCATCAACTGGTTTTAATTTTTAGTATCTTATTATTCTCACCCTTAGTTAGATCAACAAAATAGAAGTACTAACTTCTGAAGCCTAGAAACTCATCAAATAAGACTTCCTGTATTTCCAAATACACAAAAGTGATTGTTTTTAAACAATTAAGAAATTAAGAATTAATTCATTCTTTTAAATTAATATTTCAACAACTTTATAGTGCAACAAGAAAAAATTTACTGGATTATTATCAATTTGGAAAGAATACAAAACCAAAGCTAAGTTTGCTGACTCTATCCCTACCATGCTTCTCAGATAAAACAAAATAATAAAGAGAAGAATTAAAGAAAGATTTTTCAGGTTGTGATCCAAAAGCCTCTCCTGCCTCATCTCACATTTTGGTGAAAATGATGTGCTCAGTGAGAGACTATTAAAGAGGCTATTAAAATACAAATTTTCTACTTCCAAAATATTGAACCCAAATTTCATCAAAGAAAATATTAGCTTGCCATCCACAAAATAAAATAGACTACTTTAGCAACTGTTCACTTAGTTCAAAAAGTAATCCTTGGTGTAGTTTCAGGCACCATCTTTAACACCCTATGTGTTTATGGAAATCTATTCACTGGACCATGGCAATAGAGTGACAATGAACATCAGGCCCTGATGAGGCAGGAAAGACTACTCTTTGCCCACCCATTTCACAGACAGTTTAGTAGTTAAGCCCAAAAAGTTTTTACTTTACCAACAATTCAATTTCTGAATGGTATAAAGAGCCATGTTGATGCTGGCAAGTAAACAAGCCCAAATATTTGAAATATTTCTATTAACTTATTATTTTCTTAGGAAAAGCCAAATAGCACTAGTCTTATTTTCAAGTTACCATAATCATGCAGCCAAAGGTGGATTACTATTTTTGCTAGCAACCAATAAGTTATAATCTGCTAAAAGCAAATTAAGATGTTAAAAATATCTGAATATTTGACACATGTAACTAATTTCATTATTTTTAACACCCTAATCATTAACTGGAAAGATGAGACTTCTCTCACTAGTCTTATTCCCTCACTATCCTTATCACAATCAACAGATCCTTCCCTCATCAGTGTATGACCAGCTCTTGACAACTGTGCAATCTGTTGAAAGATGAACTGAGGAATATTAAAAATCTTAAGAGTTCATCTGAGCAAAAATCAATGTGAATCAGGCAGCATCCAATCTAACAAAGAGAAATGGAGCTCCAAGGACTTGTATAAAATAAAGGCATTAGTGAGCAGGAAAAGGGAAGTTTTTATTAGGCAAAAAAAAAAAAAAAAAAAAAAGTGGGTTAGTTACTGCAAAGTCACTTTCCTTTTGGGGATGGCAGGGTATCTATGAGGCATTATTACCGAACTATAGCAGATCAGGCATTTCCTGGTTGACTGGTTTAAAATTCCATTTCTGGGAAAGCCAAAACTGTAATTAAGCCTTAGTTTGGTAACATGGGGCTTAAATAAGTAACTATTTGGGCCCTGTTGTTTTGTTTTAAACAAAGCCAATTATACTGATACGAGATTCCAGAGTGAATTGTGCTGAAAATTCAAGAAGGTGATATAAAAATATTATCATAAAGCAACAAAGTTGGTCATTATCAAAAGTCAAGTCATCAAATAACCTGGCAGTCGTTTATGGAGCATCTACTAGATACTGAGGGCACAAATGCATAAGGCATGGCATGCTCTACCTTGAAGAGCTCTCCAAATAGTGGTGATAAGGAGCGGAGAAAAATGTCAAATACAGATAACCATCTTCAGTTATATAATCTAAGGAAGCCCACTTTTGAAGAGTTAGTCATCATCCATCAAAGCATGTTTACAGAGAAGTATATTCTAAATTTAACTGCTTTGACTCTGAAATATTTACATGGCAAAAATATTTACATGCCAGATGATAACAAAAACAAGGCAACAATCAAATTTGGCTGCATTAAATACCTGATAGTACAAAGACATCAATCATGCTGGCCAGCCTGGGTGGCTCAGCTGTTTAGCGCCGCCTTCAGCCCAGGGCCTGATCCAGGAGGCCTGGGATCGCATTGGGCTCCCTGCATGGAGCCTGCTTCTCCCTCTGCCTGTGTCTCTGCCTCTCTCTCTGTATCTCTCATGAATAAATAAAATCTTAAGAAAAAAAAAATCAAGCTAATAAGCATGCAACTGATAAGCCGCATTCAGCTAACAGTTGTGTTGAAGAGGCCCAAAGCAAGAAAATGGTCTCTGACCCAATCATCTCTCCACCCTGTAGGGTGTAAAAGAGGTGCTTTACTATTAACATTTTTATTAATATGCAGTATAAAGGGAAAGACAGGTTGTTTATTTAAATTGTTAGCAAGCTCCACTAGTCTGACAAATTGTTTCTTTTCATGTCAGCCCTAAGCCTAAACAAAATCCTCCCAGGGAAACATCTTTATGTGTCAAATGCTTTAGTGCTTAAGTAAAATAAAGACAAGTAGCTCTAGACCAGGAAAAGAGGGAGCATAATCATTCCTTTTTTTAAATTAAGACTTAAAGTAAACTTTTAAATTTATTTTATTTAAAAGAAACAACAAAAACCTACAAAGACATCTGAATAGAAGATGTTAACAGACATGGAGAATTTTAGCCTTTAATGATGGAATATTTAGACAACATATATAAATATACAGATGTAAACTTATGGTATTTTCTAGGTTGGTCATTCTCTTCAGTTCATTAGCTCTTCTTCTTGCCAAGAAAACTGAAAAGCATCTCTAATCATCTATAAGTCAGTAGATAATTATACCCACATGCATTTTTTGTACCAAATATTAAACATTTCAGTCTGAGATGTGTCAAGTAATGTGATCTTATATAAAATGCACATGAAAAAAAATAAATAAAAAATAAAATGCACATGAGTGAAACGGCAAATACTGTACCCTAATTCACTAAAAAAATAAAGTGACAGGCTAGCTTTAAATAGGAGCTTCTTCAACAAGTAAAGAATATTTTCTTCCATTAGAAGGTTTTTTTTTTTAATTGAGCTATCTTTGAGCACTAAAAACCTTTATCTCCTTAAACTTCCCTGTATCCTCCATGACCACCTAACTGGATGGTGATGCCATGTGCCAGCTCTTATTTCCACAGCATTTCTGAAGCCACCCAGAAGCCAGTTGCTTTTCCCAAAGCACGACCTACAATTTTTCTGCTTTCCCTTTTCTCTTTTTTATAAAAGATTTACTCATTTTAAAGAGAGAAAGAATAAGCACATGAGGTGGGGGAGGAGCAGAGAACAAGAGACTCTCAAGCAGACTTCCTGCCCTGTACGGAGCCCCAGGAGGGGCTCAGTCTCATGACCCATAAGATCATGACCTGAACAGAAATCACAAGTCAGAGGCTTAACCCACTGAGCCACCCAGGTGCCCCACCCCTTCTCTTTGCATACAATGTTTTCTCTACCTGCAGTGTCCTCTTCACCACTACTACATAATCAATTCTTCAAAGATTGATGTCCTCTTCATGGAGATCTGTCTGGTTCCCCCCATAGAAAATAACTTTCCTCTCTCAAAAGTCCAACCTATTTTACGCATGGGGATAGAAAAAGGGGATATATGCACTAGAGGAATAGGAATTACTGTGAAATTAACATTCTCTCCAGATAGACATGAAGTTGAAATATTTGTTACATGATAAAAGACAGTATTTTAGAAATAAATTTTCTAAAGACTTTTTTGATTAAGCACTCTGTTAGGTCAAATTTTAATTGTTACAATATTAACATATATATGCGCTATAATGCTAGCATATACCAAATGCTCTGGCACTCACTGCTAAGCCCCAGTACTGTGCCTCTTTCGAGAAAACTTCACTGAACAAGACACCAATCCAACAGGATCTCCTTCAGAAGTATGAACTAATGTCAGTAATAACACATATTGGAAGTGAATTATTAAAGCTTCTCTATTCATAATTATAAAAATACGTTAACAAATTTTCCTTGTACATTAAACCCATGAGTGGCTACTATTCAAATACACCCTTAATGGGAACTAGTAAGACACTCCTTGAATTGAGGATTTCCCTTCAATCTAACCTGCCCACAGAGGTCAAACTAATCTTTCCAAATGCTGCTTTGCATATATCAAATCATTTGCCAAAAGAATACAAAAACCAAACCAAACCAACCAACCAACTAACCAACCAACCAGCCAACAAAGCTCCAAGGGTTTTTCTCTGTCTACAGTACAAAAGCCTAAATCCTTAACCTAGCATGTAGGACCATCCACAGACTTGCTTTCCTAAATAACATCCTACTGCCCCAATCCATAAGCTTTCCTCCAACTAACATGAAGTACAGAGTAATCATACATTCTAGTTGGCCAAACAACTTGCTTGAGACAAACCCAGCTTATGCCTGTTGCCATGGAATATTATTACAGGTCAGGCAATAAATTATATGGTCATCCCATTTGTATGAGAGCTTTGGCAACTGAAGGGAATTACAAGCTCCTCACAAATCCTAAATTATTGTTAAGTCTATAATGTTTTCCCACATAATATACAGTAAAAGGAAAAATGGAATGAGAATGAATAGAGAATAAAGATGGACTCTGCTGTGAATGCTGCTGAACCAATGACTAGCCTTACTCACTGCCTGAGACACCAAGCTCTTCACAAGGGATTAAAATCAGTAATCCACAAAACCCTTCAAGGGTCATTCACAAATGAACAGTCCAAATCCTGAAGTTATAAATCCAAGAATGCACTGAATCTACAGTCCATACAATTCTGCATCTCCTTACTGTCTTGCATCCAGACTTTGCTGGTGCGGTTTTCTCTTGGAACATACTGCTTGGAACAGCCAGGAAAGGTTATCTAGCTTTCAAGACCCAATTCAAAAGCTATCTT